CAATAATAATAATAATAATAATAATAATAATAATAATAGTATAGTAATAGTAATAATAATAATTCGTATAATAAATATTATAATAGTCATTTTTTAAAAATAACAATAAAAAAAATAAATAAATAAAATAAATAAAATAAAAAAAAAAAAAAATAATAATAATAATAATAATGATAATAAGCATTTGTACAGCTCACACCCCGCTCAACAACAGGCTCTATTCGGTTTATAGTCTAATATTTATTACCCCAAGCAGACCCAAAGCATTTTCGGCTCCAAGACAGCCAATTAAGCGTTCAAAACTAACAGAGAGGTTGGTTGGCGGGTGCTCTAGTGTGGTTTGCTCCTTCTTTCATATCAAAAGTCTTTCGTCCTTATCTCCCCTCCGTCTTTTTTGTATTTGTTACTCCCTTGTAACACCTCTAATCTTCAGCATTTATATGACCTAATTGTGTTGCTATTGCCGTAAAACTCTTACGAAAAAAGCAACCACAAAATACTAACAGATTGACAAGATTTTCCGCTGTCTGTAACCGGGAACCCATCCTCACCTGGGTTTAAGTAGGGACCACTCGTGTAAAGTGTCATTTTCCCCCCAATTACCTGATCATTTTCAAACCCACGACTTAATGGTTGCGAGCCCAACAGCCTAACCAGTAGACCCCAAACGCCACTCCTTGTTTAGCCTTGATCTATGCCACCACTTTTTGCCATCTTTCAGCCTTTGAAAAGTTTTGATAAGGGGTTTTACGGCAGTCGCAGCACAAAAAGGCCATATAAGTACCGAAGATTTAAACCTATCCGTACGCCCTGGGGTCATTTTGTACCCCCGGAGTTGTATTCTTCACATTTTAGAATACTTCTAGTACGAAGATCTCTTTGAAACTTTCAGTATTTCTCTAAACGTCATTTTGACAGACTGCTATGCAAAGCGCACGGATCGGATTAACGAGTAAATTTCCTCTTTGGAAAGTGGTGGTACAGAGTTCCCCACGTCGTCTGGATACGATAGTAAAACACGACGTACGGATGTTTACAAGAGAGTAACATGCGAACAGATTGTTCAAAACTTTTTTTTTTTTGGCTGTGTTATAAACCAGCATTTTTTGGGCCTCCTAAATAGACATAAGGGTCTTCAACATTTAGCTCTCACTGGCAAAATTGAAGGCAAACGAGGCAGGGGTAGGTCCAGAACAACATACTTAGGGAACCTAAACAAATGGATAACAGGGAAAGATCAGGGAAACGTAGCTTTTTTAAGAGCATCCGAGCAAAGGAATGAATGGAGAACCATGATCGTCAATGTCTGTCGCAGATTCGGCTCTGGATCATGACGATGATGATGATATACCTGACGTCCTAATTAACAATTTAATTTATTTTTTCCCCGCCAGGCATCATGCCCCCAACCTAGAACCGCGGAATTCCACCCGCGCGAAAACTTCTGGGAACCAATCAAGGCCTCGGACGTCGAGTGGAACTTTGAGAAATTCCTCGTTTCACCAGACGGGGTACCTCTGTTCAGGTTCCGGGCCATGGTGGAACCCATTGACCTCAAGAAGTTGTTCATCGCTCTTCTGTCTCCAGTGGAAGACTTAGCGGCCCAGAGACGAGAAGTGGGGAAGATCCTAAAGGATCTGGACGGTGAGATCAAGAAGAGGGAGGAGGCTGCTGACGAAGAGTCTTAGAGATCGGGAGACTTTCTTTCTTCTTCTTCTTCTTCTTCTTCTTCTTCTTCTTCTTCTTCTTCTTCTTCTTCTTCTTCTTCTTCTTCTTCTTCTTCTTCTTCTTCTTTTTCCTCTTTCTCTATCTCTCTCTCTCTCCCTCTATCTCTCTCTAACTCTCTCTCTCTCTCTCTCTCTCTCTCTCTCTCTCTCTCTCTCTCTCTCTCTCTCTCTCTCTCTCTCTCTCTCTCTCTCTCCCATCTATATAATAATATTATTTTCTGATGGTGTTTTGAAGTCTACATTTATTCCACAAATCACTGAGACATATTTCCCCTACAAAAATGTGAAAGTTGGTGGTTGGCGGGTGCTCTGGTGTAGTTTCCTTTTTCTTTCCTATGAAATATCTGTCGCCCTCATCTCTACTCCTCTTTTTTGTGTATGTTACTCTCTTGTAACACATCTAGCTATTCTTCGGCACTTATATGACTTTATTGTGTTGCAAATGCGGTTTAAAAAACTTACTAGAAACTGTGAAGACATTGCACAGGGCTGTTGTCGCTATGACGGGACGGATCTGAAACCTGGCCACAGGAGATCATCTCTGACGTATCCTGGAAGAGTCACGTGATTCTCAAAGTGCGTTCGAGTCACGTGACAAACCGGATGAAGACAGACAGGCTTGTGCGCTGACTAGATACAGTTTTGTTTTTTTAGAGTGAAAAATAATGGTCGTGATCAGTTATTTACTGCCTATCATGGAATTATTAAAGATTGATCTCATTGCTGCTGTTTTTGCTTGTCATTGATTTGAACGTCATTTTATTATTATTATTATTATTATTATTATTATTATTATTATTATTATTATTATTATTATTATTATTATTATTGTTTTGTTTGAATCGGGATGGAGGGGGGGTTGGGGGATCAAAATTTACCTTTACCGAAATGGACCGAGACAAGTTGGCAGTCAGTTGTTGATGAGGTCGACACTGCCACGTCTGTTGTTGCATATGAAGTAGAAGGGAAATAACTGCTCATTTAGGTATTTTAGTGTATATACATTGATAATGCCCCCTGTTTTCTTTTTTTTAACTTTTACTTTCATCTACGTGCAGTGTGTGTTTATTTATGTTTATTTGTTTATTTATTTGTTTATTTATGTATTCATTTATTTATTCATTTATTTATTCATTTATTTATGTATTCATTTATTAATCCATTTATTAATTCATTTATTTATTTTTAAAAATTATCCAATATTTTAAAAAATCTATTTTAAGTTGTTTTTTTCCGGGGTGGTGAGGGTGGAGTGGGAGAATAAAAATGAACTCCTTCACAACCAGACCTGCTTTGTAATCTCACGGAAGAGCTTGGTTAGTGTGAAGCAACAAAGACGTTAATCAAAATAATTTTCTTGCTCATAAATTTCGTAGAGTGCGAAGTGGGCGAGCAACGCAGGCTGAGCTAAACGGTTTAGTTGAACAGGGCATTTGCTATTTATCTATCTATCTATCTATCTATCTATCTATCTATCTATCTGTCTGTCTGTCTGTCTGTCTGTCTGTCTGTCTGTCTGCCTGCCTGCCTGCCTGCCTGCCTGCCTGCCTGCCTGTCTGTCTGTCTGCCTGCCTGCCTGCCTGCCTGCCTGTCTGTCTGTCTGTCTGTCTGTCTCTCTGTCTGTCTCTCTGTCTGTCTCTCTGTCTGTCTCTCTGTCTGTCTCTCTGTCTGTCCGTTTATTTCTCTATCTGAGAAGTTGAGATAACAGATAGCAAAATTACTATATCTATGGAGACCTTTGCTGTCAAAAGTCAGTGTGATGTAACCGCACATGTCGTGATAGTTAGAAAAACGTTTGACTCTTGTATCTTTTAGATTAGACACGAACGTACTTAGATATCTATGTCACTTTAGAAACTACTGTTTCGGATCTATGTACGTAGGTGGTTGGCGGACGCTCTAGTGTGGTTTGCTCCTTCTTTCGTATTAGACATTATATACTATCGTCATCTATCTCTCCTTCTTTTTTGTGTTTGTTACTCTCTTGTAACACCTCTAAATTCCGGCACGTATATGACCTAATTCTGTTTCAAGTGCCGCTAAACTCTTACTAAAATTAAGGATCTGGGTATGTTGATCTGCTTCTGACACAAGAAGGATATTGACAAGACTGATGTAACAAACAAATGTGAGGCAGCGTGGTGGCATCAGGCTCTCGTCAAAATAATCAAAGTGAAGAAACTTGCATTTTTCTGCAGGTTTCTGCATTTTTATCAAATTTTTGTTTTTTGGCTCAACATCTTTCAAGCCCTTTAAAGAACTCATTTCTCCGAGGATTTTTCTGCAAAACGTTGATTTAAGGCACAAAAAATGTAAATTTTCAGTTACCACGGACTCTTAAGTTGCGGAAATAACTAATCTTTGGCGGCCATTTTCTCACTAATTTCACCTCTGAAAACAGGTGACCCCCACCTCATTCATTCGCCAATATCTCGACTTGTATTCAAAATAAATGGATTTTTTTTCATCCAAATAAAGATAAGTGAACAAGCTTGGAGATTATATCAATAACTCTACCTGCCCCAAAATTGACGAGAGCCTGATTCCACCACGCTGCTCCACAAATAGCTCCAAAAAACAACAACACATTTTTATCAGTGGCGTCGGTGGCCCAGTGGTTAGGCTACCGGACTCGTAATCATGAGGTTGCGTGTTTGGGGGTTCGAGCCACGGGCCCGACGTTGTGTCCTTGGGAAAGGCACTTTACACAAATTTTCCTCACTTCACCCAGGTGAGAATGGGTACCCGGCCATAGACAGCGAAAGATCTTGTCAGTATGTTAGCGTTTTAGCGCCTATAAATGGCTGCTTGCACTGTATCCTTCCTAGGAAGTTGAGGTTGATTCAGAATGCTTTCAGGTCTGCTGGGGTAATAGTACAGATTATAAAGCGCATGGAGCTTGCTGTTGAGCGGGGATTTGCGCTATACAAATGTTATCTATCATTATTATCAGATACGTCGTTCTGCCTTGTAACAGCAGAACTAGAAAACCTCTTCTGAGATATGAGGATGCCCCCTGAACGGGTAAGAACTTCTTAGCTGTGCGCAGCTTCTTTATCCTTTTGTAAGAGTTTTACGGCACTTGAAGTTACAACACAACACCGTCACATAACTGCCAGAGATCAGATGTGACTGTTACATGTGAGCAACAAACACAAAAAAAGAAAAAGAGATAATAAGTACGAAGGATGTTTTTACAAGAATAAAGGAACATACCACACCAGAACACCCTCCAACATTCCATATTCAGTTTCAGAGAATGGGGATCTAGTATGGTAAAAGATGATAGTGATAGCCAAAGGAGAAGGAAAGTCCAAACTAGTCTCCAAAAATGGTCGCTTTTACTTATGCACAAGGAGGCTATCCCGAAAAATGCTGTTTTGAGAAAATCGAAGGTAAAGTTTTTGCCCCTTGTTCAGTTTCTTTAAAAAGACAAGGAAAGTTATCTCTCTAACCAAACAATTCTCCAATATGAAGGGCAACGCCCACTTTTGGTGTAGGTCAAGATTTCTCGAAACCCCCGAAATCTGGGTTAGCCCGCTTGTCCTTAATAGCGACCACATGATGAAACATAATGTAATAAGTAATAAACACGTAGCAGTCAAGGTACTGTATACAAACACCTATCACATCACGGGTCTACCGGACAGCTATTCCAATCCAAGTGACACGTGGCAAATTTTACAGAAGGAAAAAACTTTCTCATTTCAACAGAACGCAATTCTAGGATCCGAAACTCACATGTAGCGTAGAAAAACAACAAACACGGGTTCATTTTGTAAATCGTTTTCTAATCAATTTCTTCCATTCTAATTAAATCAAAGTGTCACTTAAAATACTTCTTTTTGAACAAAAAGTGTGAGGAAAACCATTCTAAAGCGGTACGGTACTTAGAAAAGTTTCGTTTGTTTTTGGCTGAGCCATTTGAGAAGAAAAGTATGCTAACTTACCCACTTACAATCGTTTTTTTCTTTTTCTACCACCATTAGCAATTTCTAGATGTGGTACAAGTATTTTAACCCCAACATTACAACTTTTCCTCAAAATGGTTTTCGCCCCCCGGGGCAGTGCCACTGACTGTAGTGTCTTTAGGCCATTCCCAAATGGGGGACATTTCTCGTTCAAGCACAGTAGAATTGTAAATGGGATGATTCATGTCACT